TATATATTATATATTTATATATTTCTATACCCACTAAAATATATCAAAGCAGCAGCTATTGGTCAGTCTGAGGAACTCTTTTGTCCAATTCTTAACTGTTTAAATATCCTTCAGCCATATAGAGAGGACACCGAAATAAAACTGAGAAAGAAAAGAAGAAAAGAGAAGAGAAAATAACAATAAAAGCAAATAAATTAAAAACTATTCACCAAACACCCTATGAATCTGTGTGTAGTTTGGAATTCTGCAGAACCGAAGGAAAAACAACAAAACAACAACAAAAACAAAAAGAAAACATTCCTCTAGGAATAGATGTTTGTTCTAGGATCAAGTCTTTGCAAGTCATCTCACCGTTCCAAACTGATTAAGTCATTGTTCAAAAGGAAATTAGTATGAGCGCTGATAGACACTTCTCTTTGTTTATAGGCCACATACAAAAAGGCCACTATCTGAGTAACAAGATTTCACTTGGAAAAAAAAAAAACAAAGCACAGAAATGTGGAAATGCAGATTGGTGGGTAGAAGAGGAGGGACAAGTCTTGAGGAGGTTGAGCATAAGCAGCCTTCTTGGTTGTCTAAGGTTTGTTGTGTTCACAGTTTTTTTTTTCTCTGTTTCCATCACAAGGAGTCCTGGAAACGTGGCAATGGTGAAAAACAATAGATAGGTAATATGGTGATAGAAAGTCCGATGTGTTGTGGAGGAAGTTAAAAAAGTGTGTTTGCATCCCTTGCTTGCCTGTGTTTCGGCAGCCATGAGGAGGAAAATAAAAAGTCCTGAGATCTGTATGTTGTTATTTTTAAGGGCTTCCCCAAGAATAAGAAAATCATTAGAAAATGAGAGGAACATGAACGATACAGAAAAAAATGGACTGGAAGAGAAAGAAGAATGGGAAGGGAAAGGGGGACAGGATGAACAAGTTCTTTTAAGGAAACAGGAAATGTTAGGAAGGGCTGGATCTGGGCAACGATAAGATTCGTCCGTTTTTCTTGCCACCATTCATGTGTGTGTAGGGGACATGTTCCTCATAGTTCCCCCTAAGGGCCACCGAGGGCCCGCTGTCCCTGCCTAAGCTCTCCTCTCTCTGGGAGTATGACGACGGGTCCAGGGGGATGCTCTCCATGTTGTCCAGGTCGAGGTCAAAATCCTCTGTCTCTGGGACTTTGTTTTCCTCGCTGTAGAAGAAGGAGACCTCCTGGAAAGACGGGTGCAGGTCCTCCCGCAGCATCTCGATGATCTCGTGGAACATCGGCCGCATCTTGGGGTTGTACTGCCAACACATCTGCATTAGGCTGTGCCTGGGGGAGAAATAAAGAGACAGAAAGCTTTAACTCCTAAAGGCATACTATGTTACAACCCGTCTAATTCATTAATTTAATTCAATGAAGTACTTCATTAGAAAAGTATGTGCACATCCATGCTGACTTTGGTTTGTAATTATTCTGCTGACTAGTTTGTGTTTGTTGGTGTCAGTCTATGAGAAGTTATAGTAGCCTATGTGTAAGATAGTACACAATAAGCATTAAATACAACAGGCTACACTGAAATATATTAATGACTGCAAATCTACAAATGCAAAACATATTATATTTGTCTTACTGTTAATACTATGTTCTGAAAAGTGTACAGGCAATATGATTTTAATACATGGCTCAATGTGTGTTATATAAGTGTCGGCTCACTAAAGACCGGAGGTATGTAGGAATGTTGGAGCAAAAGAACATCCATGCATTCGAAGGTTGAACAAGAAATAAAGATTTAAACGGGAATGAGAAAAATGGCCTAGTGGAAGGTGGTGAACCACGTTGAAAAGGATGACACACTCAAAAAAAGAGGTAGAGGAGGATTACTGAGAAGTTTCCCAGACACAAACCGACACGAGAGAACAACTTTTGATGCAACATAAACATATAAAAACCTTGTAGAGATCAAATTTCCAGTGTCAGTGTGTTACAATGCTGCACAGATCAGTTTTACCATGTTAAGTAGAATCTGGATTATAATGGTGTTCCTGACAAAAATGCATAATGATACCTTCCATCGGAAATACTGTGTCCAATTATCCAGATCAGATAGACTTTAAGGATCAAGGCAGCAAAGGTGCCCCAAGGTAGTTTTGAATAAAACACTTCCTGAGTGTTTACTTACATCCTCTCTGGGCAGTTGTCTGGCCGGTCCAGGTATCCTCCGTCCATGACAAACTTTAGAACCTGTTCGTTGGATAAACCCTGGTAAGGCTGCTCTGCTAGCGTGCTGATCTCCCACAGCACAACGCCAAACGACCTGCAGACACACATACAAACACATGACCAAATGCACCAGGTATGTAATCAGGATAGCAAAGACTGCGCCACAACTGCCGAAGTGCGACTTACCAGCAGTCGGAGTGGGCAGTGAAGACTCCGTCCTTCAGAGACTCTGGAGCCATCCACCTGACAGGAAGCAGGCCCTTCCCTCCTTTACGGTAGTAGTCAGTCTCGTAGATGTCTCTGGTCATACCAAAGTCTAGAAAGAGAGAGAGGGGGAGAGAGAGAGAAAGCTATGTATACCTTAACTGTAAGCACACAGTGAAACATATTTCCATTGACCCTACTTCCCACTTTGTTTATTAGCTCAGTAAACAGTTTCCTAATGATTATATCTTCCATACAGCATGATGTTCATTTAGTAAATTATGGTCCCATTTACAGTAAAATAGGGGCTACCTTCTGATTGACAAGTCACTCTCAGTGAGTCCGTCCAGCGCAACACACGAAATGGTCAAACTAGGCAGTGCTGATCAAATATGAATCAAGATTCTGTTACTCTATTTACTTTTTCTAGCTTAATCTTTTCAGAAACATATTTTAGTATACCGTTTAGCTGTAATATGTGAACGTGTGTAACCAGTAGAGCCATCATTGTTTCCTGCTCCGGACGAGTCAAAATCGAGTGCAACTCAACATGTAGTACGTCACCGCTGCTGGCTCTGAAAGTCCATCATGGCAACAGCCTTTAAAACGGTACACCACAATCCGGTGGGTGACGTGATGATAGGTTCACACTTGAGAAGAACTGGAATTGAAATCTGAACAACAAGGAAAAACAAAACAAGATTCAGTACCTCCAATCTTAACAGTGTAGTCCTCTGCCACCATGCAGTTCCTGGCTGCCAGGTCTCTGTGGACAAACTTCTTGGCATTGAGGTAGGCCATGCCGTCTGCAATTTCTGCAGCCATCTGGATCATCTCCTTCAGCGTAGGTGGTGAACGGCCTGTTGGGTTGTTCTACACAAACACAGACACACACAAAAAAAAGTTTATAAGGTCAGTCAGTGATGTGTAGAAATATCACAACTAAGCGTACTTTAGCTCAACTTGTGTCGATTTCTTTTTAAATGAAGACATACCTCAGAGTCTGGCCTGAGACCACGCAGGTAGCTCTTTAGATCACCGTGGGTCATCAGCTCCATCACTACCAGAGTGGGCTGACCTTTGGACACGACACCTAACAAACGGACCTACACACAGAAAAATAAAGACAACACAGTTGGTGCACAGGTGATAAAAACAAAGTATAAACTCACAGTTAGTGACTACAAAAACTAAGAAATACTTTTTATTATTATACACATATATATTTATATATAACCCCCACTACATGACAACATGACAGCCCAACCTATGGCAGTTTAATTGGTGCTTAGTATGCTGTTTAAGAAAATAGCAATCTTAGGCACAATTGCTTACAATTAAGCAGGGCTTAAGTGTGATTTGTTTTTGGAGTCAAACTGTGTGTCAATATGGCAGCGTCAACACAACAAGCGAGTCATGATTCGGTGAGTCATACATGTTCATGCTGGTTTCGACAAAATTATGGAAAGCTGTAATATAATGTAATCCACACGTGTGTGGAGAGCTGCTCCAGTATCCCTGTTAGTCAGTAATGAAGCTGTGAGAGGAAACAGTATTTTGTGGTGCCGTACCACGTGGTGACAGCTGAAAGCCTTCATGACGGAGGCTTCGTTGAGGAACTCAATCCTCTCGCGCAGGCTGGCCGATTCGTTGACAGTCTTGACGGCTACACGTGTGTCCGGGTCTCCTTTGACGATGTCCTTGGCGATTCCCTCGTACACCATGCCGAAGGAGCCCTGACCAAGCTCTCGTAGCACCGTGATCTTGTCCCGGGGCACCTCCCACTCATCAGGAACATACACTACATAAAACAGACACCATTTTAATTTTGAAGTGAACCACTCACAAATTATCACAGCACAATTTATTTATTAAAGCAGTTTTGTTATGACGCTGTTCTTACCATCGTTGGCGCTGAGGTACTCTGGGTTTGAGGAGGCAATAAGAGGTCCAGTCGGGCCTTCTGTTTGCCTGTAATACAACCACAGAAAGCATCTGAGAAGCTGAAAACTGGAATAAGATGTGGGCTTTCTCCAGTATGTCTAGACCTTCTTGCAGAATCTGTCTTATTTGTCCTGTCACATACTCCTGATAGCTTCAAACTGAACACCTTTTACTTCCAATACCCTAATATACGTTTCTAAACAGAATAAGCACCAGTCAGACTTTGATGTCATTTGGCGTAATCCGCTCGGTTTATGTGTCCAGCAGGGCGGATCTGATATCCTGATAGGCAGCGTGCCAGTCAAAGATCTTACCTCTTCTTTAAGATCACAAAGACTCCGCCTCCCACGAACAGCAGCAGAATGAAGCAGATGACTGGACCAATCACAATCCAAATTAAACCTGGATCCGCTGTAATAAACACAGAAATCAATGGTCAGTTCACTTGGAGTAAAGAATAATAATGTTTAAAACAATAATATCAGAGATGAAATAAATACCATACTATAAATATATTTTAATATTATTTATATATATTCTGAATATTTTCCACCTTTCTGTCCAATAAGATTAAAAATGGAAGAAATGTCAAGAAATTACATTTTAACCAAAAACACACAAAATTTACAGTTTTGAAGTGAATGGCTTATAGGACCTCACCTGCTCTAACATGCATAGACTCAATGGCAACAACATATAAGCAGTTTAAGAACTTCCATATGCATATGAATAATGAATGATTGTTATGACATGTGAGTTCAGTAAAGTCAAACATATAGCCTCGAGCCTTACGGTTGGGCATGAAGAAGTAAGTGGTTTCTGTAAAGGAGCCATTTCCTGCCAAGGAGGTGGCCCGGACCCTCACGCTGTAGTTTCCAGGTTGTACGAGCGAAAGCTTTGTGCCTCCTGATTTAAGGTAAGCCGGCCGTGACACACAAACTGTGTGAACCTGAAAAAAAATTAAAACATGAGAGATCATGAGAAATAATATAAGTGCTTATTTTTGGGAGCAGGGATTATTCTGTGTTTAACCCAAATCATAAACTATTTTCTACAAAGGAGACTTCTACTACAACTCTGTGACCTTTAAGTATGAAGAACCCACAGATGCGTTCCAAGCTGAGGTTTGGAAACGATTCTTAGCTTTTAATAAAATTGCACTGAGAAGGCACACTGAAAACACACTGATTTGACTCCTGACTATATATATATGTAGAACTTACGTTGGGAAACATGTCACCAATTGTGCATTGTCGTTCGTACTGGATTTACTCTTAATTATAAACAGTATAACAACAATGGGAGTGTGTAAAAAGTGGAAATATTGTGGCACACAATGTAACGCCTGTAAAAGTGCAGGAACACACATAAAATGAGATTTATGCCCCACGGGTCTGCAGCCCTGATGCATGCTGGGTGATATCCCTACATGCCTACCTTAGGATGCTACATAAATATAAACTATTAATCCAAGCTTGACTCCAATAAGGATTTTAATATTGCTCCTCCTCCACCACTAACGTAATTTAATCAAAATATATTCAAAACAAATAAATACTTTTAGACTGTTGGGATTATAAATAATGCATTAAATTAACAAGGGCAGTGTTTTTTACTGCTGAAACTGTTTTTGAGTGTAAATATATTTTAGGTGGCAGATATCAAAGATGAAAACAAAGCTCTGTTAGAATATTCACAACTGATAGCATGCATGCTAATTCAGTCATTCAGATGTCTGAAATAAAAACAAGTGTTCAGTCTTGCCATATGCTGCCACTGTGCAATAAACCAAATAATGAATTAGACCCTGACATTCTCTGAGCATCATTTTAAATAAACCCAGTTTGTTTCAGCTGCAGGGTGTGTTAGTGAGCGGTGTGTTTTCAGAGCAGTGCACTAGAGTTGTCGTCTGAGATGCCAGTCCATCCCTGCCACTGCATTCTAGTCTTCCTTCCTGCCTCTGTCACTATGGTAACAGAGCTGCTACTGGCTCCTTGGGTCAGGCAGTGCAGCAATGAATAGCAATGAGTGATGAATTCACACTTTTTACAGCAAGTAAACAACAACAACACACACACACACACACACACACACACACAAACTTGAACAGTCACAGACAGAAAAGCAAAGGAATAATAATATGCAAACACACGCGGCAGGAAACGTCAACACACAGTGGTAGCACTGGGAGTTTGTAAACAAATATTTCCTTTGTTCCTCTCTCCATATAAGGAAAAGACAGAATTTTAGTGTATACAGCAAACCTTTCCTTTCCTGCCTGCATTCACTCCCCAGAGTCTACCCAGATCACTCCTTGTTCTCTCTGCATCCATGTTTTCTTGTGTACCTGTCTGCCCTTTAAACCCTGTGTTTCTCCTTCCTACAGGATCAAAATCATTTCTGCCTGCTCTCTCCCTCCACCAGTCTGTCCATTTAGGACAAAAAAAAAAAGGAATCATGACCGCCTTCCTTCCCCTGGCTTTTTCCTGTATCCTTACTCTCCAGAAGTTTGGCTATGATACTGACCTCTGTGTCTCCAACCTTCTTGTAGAACACCTCATACAGGATGATGAGGCCATTAGGGGAGTGAGGCGCATTCCATTTAATCAACACATAGGGAGGCTCGGCTGTCACTATCTCATGGGTCACACGGCCTGGGATGAGGTCTGCTTTCTCTGTGGGTACGAGACATAAAGGGAAACACTTAACACATGTGCACTGCTGCGTTTCCACGTTGTTCTTAGTTGGCAACTGATGTCTCTATCTGCCTCCAGAAACAGTGGTGTTTGATATTTGATGCATGCATTATTATGATCACCTATGAACTACTAAATGTCAGTGTGTGTTTGTGTCTGTCAAAAGCATATATATATTATATGATAATATATTTCTGAGACTGCATTCATTTTAGCTACTCTAAGTGTACAGAAGAAAACAGCAATTGAGTATCTATAAGTGAGAGATTTGTATTTGTTCTTACCCTCTGGCATAGTTCGAGCACTGACATAAGTAGCCATGCTGCAGCGTTTGAGGTCAGTCAGATGGTTGCAGGCAATGATCTCTATCTTATAACTGGTAAAGTGGTGCAGGTTGGAGATGACTGTTGACTCTTTTGAGAACACCTTCAGCTCCACCTGAGCAGATAAGACAAGAGATGTAATTACTCACGTCAGTGATTCATGGTTAAAATCAAATCATATCATTGGGAAGATAATATTTCCTCCCACCAGAGACATGTCAAAAAAAAGAAGATTATGTTTCCTTAAACTTACTATGAGGAGTTTTTAACAGGTTATGTAACAGATTCACTTTAATACTGATTCCTCTATATGACCTACATAAGCACAAGACCATCAG